TTTGGTATCAAAGATATGTTTGTACAGCTAGTTTTGAATTCTCTTTCAAATTTGTTTGTGCCTCCTGATCCTTGGCCTGATGGAAGGAAACTGGAACTGACAGAGGTGGTCTTTCCTGGCATCCCTGTCGTGCAGAGTCCCAAACCGTCCAGTCATCGGTTCCACCTATTGCTGAGTGTGACCAGGCAGGGCTGGGGACAAAGGCGGCTATAAGGAAGGGGGTGCAGGTGACAGTGTGACCTGTAAGGTCCTTTTCAACCAGACCTGGAAAAATAGATGCTGAGGAAAGAAATGAGGAGTCAGAGGTCCGTTGAATGGTTACCCTCACTATGCTGCCCCAGGCAGGATGGAAGGGATGGGGGCTGGCTTGTGAGCTGCGTTCAGGCCTCCAATGGGGTTGCTTACAGGATGAAATGAAGGGTGTGCTGGGATACTGTTGTTCTGAGGGGGCAGTAAGTTGGTTCCAACTTATAGGGATCCTATGTTTGACAACCACATTATCCTTTTCCAGGGATGAATAACTGAATAACAATGGGGCTGCATTAATCAGAAAAAAACAAAGAAAAAAGCCAAAATATTTCAAGATCTGTCCTGAAGGACAATGCTGTGAGTGATAGGCTACTATCCATATGCATGCGAGGAAACCTGGTGATACAACGATTATTCAAATATTCACACCAAACACTGAAGCCAAAGGAGAATAAATCGAGGAATTCTACCAGCTTGTGTAGTCTGAGACAGGTTGAACATGCAATCACGATGCATTAATAATAAACGGTGACTGGAATGCAAAAGTTAGGGACCAAGAAGAAAATATGATAGTTGGAAAATACAAAAATGGGGCTGGAGATTTATTGATTGAGTTTTGTACAATCAGCATTTTATTAACTGGAAATACCTTTTAAAAAAATCCTAGAAGGGGATGGATCTCACCTGGTGGCTACACAGAAATCAGACCCACTACATCTTTGGGAAAAGTGGACAGAGAGGCTCAATATCTGCCTATATTTTGCCTAGAGAACCCTTCAGTATTGCAAAACCAGGCCAGGGGCTGAGTGTGGAGCAGACCATTAAGTATTCATGAGCAAATTAAAATCAAAACTGAAGAAAATGGAAAACAATTCCACAAGTGTCAAATAACGACCTTGAATCTATCCCTCCAATTAAAAAAAAACAAAACCAAACCAAACACAACCCAACTATCTTCAGGATAGATTTAATGCATTGAACACTAATGACCAAAGATCAGATGAGTCGTGAAATGACCTCAAGATATCATCAATGAAGAACGCAAAACGTCATTACAAAGACAGGAGGAAGAAGAGACCAAAAGCTGTGTCAGAAGAGAACACAGAGGTTAAACAAAGGGAAGAAATGCCAAAATAAAACAATCAACAGAACATTTCAAAGGACAGCCCAAGAAGACAAAGCAGAGTATTTTTAGAAAACATGCAAAGAGTTGGAGTCAGAAAACCAAGAGGGTGGAATTCACTTGGCATTTCAAGCATGCGTTTGAATTTATTCTTCAGCTGAAGTTGCAATACTGAAGGATTCTCTAGGCAAAACCTTGAATGATGCAGGAAAGATCAAAAGAAGGTGGAAGAACTACACAGAAAGAGTTTGGTCGTAGCAAAAAGAGTTAATCACCACTGAAGCATTTTAGGAAGAAGCAATGATCAAGAACCAGTGGGGAGGAAGGAAGAAGTTGAAGCCCTGAGGAGCTTATGGAATACTTAATGGCATGTTTCAGTAAACAGATGCAGCCCTGGACCTGCTCACCAGTTTCTGCCAAGAAATGTGGGAGACCACCACCTGGCCAGTTGACTGAAAGAGATCCATATTTGTTCCCATTTCCAAACAAGGTGGACCAACAGAGTGTGGAAATCATAGCACTATATCATTAACCTCACAAGTAAGTGAAATCTTGCTGAAGATTATCCAAAATCTACCGTAAGAGCACATTGACAGGAATTGACAGAAGTTCAATCTGGATTCAGAAGGATTCCAGGCAGAGGAAAATCACAGTTGACGTCAGATGGCTCTTGGCTGTAAGTAGAGAACACCAGAGAGATGTCTGCCCGTGTTGTGACCTAACAACAGCTACAGCAGCACGAACACTTCCCTGTCCTTCACAGGGAGGACGGCTTCCTGGCCCAGCCGTGCAAGCGATGCGCTCATTGGACAGCTGAAGGTAACCACAGCCCCCGATGGGAGGGGCCCGGGACCTGGACAGGCAGGTGGCCCAGTGCAAGGACCCAGGCTCTGCTCACACCTGCTGTGGAGGGAACAGGCTGCCCACTTGGCAGGCATCCAGGTGAGCCTGGGAGGCCGCTCGGTGGATTTCAAGGCTGTACAACTCTCCGTTGTGTGTGGCCTTGTGTCCACTCTGAGCGAGGGAGGGAGGGGTGCGCTGGCTCCAGCTGAGGCAGCTGCAACCAGCTGAAGGCACGTAGGATGGGCGGTTCCAGGCTACGTTGGGTTCCCCTTAATATTCTTACTGGATAGAATCCCCCTCATAGAAACTCCATGGGACAGAGTAACAGGGCTTTGTCGTGTGCTCTTTACTGGGACAGATCACCAGCTTTGCTCCCACTGACCCACTAGTGACTTTGAACTTTCAGTTAACGGCTGAGTGTTTAACAACCGTGCCAGCAGGCTCTTCAACCTGTAAGAGCTAAGTCTCCTGCTATTGCTGTGTGGCTATTATACCCACTCCCACATGCGCGCACATTCGTGAGACCACCTCTCACCTCTCTCCCCATGACCCGTGGTCTTGGCTGGTGGTCGTGATCCCAGCTCCTGTCCTGGGCCTGCCCTGTGCAACCTCTGCCTCTGGCTGCTTGTCCGTGGTGCTTCTTACTAAGGGTCAGCACATGGTTATGGGTCTGACACTACCATGAAAGCTGGGCTATCCCGGTCCTGCTCCAGACCCACTTCTGCTGCCCACTTTCACTCCTGCCATGCACAGGATACGGCTTTCCACCACAGCAGGCCTGCAAGCCCGCTGGCCTGCCTTGGTCCACTGTAGGAGTCCTCATGGGGTGTCTCTGCCTGAGCCCAGCAGGTGGTGCTGTGGAGCCAGGCACAGGGAGCTGGCGGGGGTAGGATTGGAACCATCATCCTCAGAACTAGAGGGGCCTGGGAGGTGGAGGATGTGAGGGTAGTCACCAGGCAGGCCAGGCCAGGCGCTCCTGTCTGGCTAAGCTCAATCTGGAACTCCATAGTGGACTGGCTCCTGTGTGGGAGAGCTGGACCAGCAGGCAGGCAAATATGAAGCCTTAGCCCAGGAGAGGGAAACGAGAGGTACACACATCATGGATGGGGTGAACCCCCAGCCCAACAGCGACTTTTGTGGGTAAACTGAGGTATAAGATCTTGCTGGGAAGAACTGGGCAGAGTGGTCAGGGACATGGTCTAGGGAAGTCTGGGCTCTGGGACCAGCAGAAGAGTGGAAGAGGGACATTGTCTAACCTGATCCCAGTGTCAGAAGACCTTGACATTGGTCCTAGGGTGTTGTCCCAGCACTTTCCCGTCTCACCACTAATTTGGGGATCAGGAGGCTGTGGGGGCATGGCTGTCAAAGGCAGCAAGTCTACGGTCAGCCAGGCCTCCTGAAGTCAAGGACTCACCTGGAAGGGCCTCCTGCTCCCTGAGCCACACCCCTGCCATTCCAGGCCTTGAGATCAGCAAACCGCAGAGTTCCTGTGCCAGCTGAGGCCTTGGCCATGGAAGGTCCTGGTGCAGAAGAGGCTCCATCAATGGCAGGTGAGTTCCTTGGATGGTATTGGGTGGGCTACCCCGGGACCCTCGCCCACAGCTGGAGGATGTGGAACTATCCGGCTTGGGTCAAGGCGGCATTAGAACAGGGTTTGGGCCAGGCTGCAAAGAGGTGGGTTTCCAAATGAAGAACCTCTCCCAGCTGTGGGACATTCAGGATTTGGTAGGCGAGGAGCCTCCTAGCAACTGGGAGCTTCAGACCCAGCAGCCTGGGAACCCTCCAGTGCACTCGCACCCAGGGCACAAGGTTGGGCTAAGGGACTGGGGCTGCCATCCGCAGCCTCCAGTCCACCCTGAGGCCTGCTGTTCTCATCCCCAGCCCACTTCTTGGGCTCACTGTCCCATCGCCAGGCCCCTCACTTGACTCTAACCCTGCCTGCTGCCATCTGGTCTATGCTTCCATTCCTGCTATCATCCCTAACCCATCAGCTAGTCAGGCTTCCCTGGGCACCTTCTCCTCTCAGCCTACCCAGGTCTGGCCAACCAGGGCACCACCTGCTGCCTGAACAGCCTCCTGCAGTGCCTCTTCTTCACGCCGCAGTTCCGCCATGCCATCCTCAGGTTAGACCAGATGGAGGGTCACCAAGCCCCCACCTGCAGGGTCACCTGGGAAGCTCCGCCAGTGCCCCTCCCCCTGCAGCTCCTTCCTGCTCTGCTCTGGGACATGGTAGGGGAAAGGGGCCCCACCTGGCTGCAATGTCAGAGGACAGGGGTGGTCATGCTGGTGGCCGGGGCTGCAGGGACTGTCCACCTCAGCTCTGAATGAACATAGCCTGTGTGTCTCTCTTTTGGGAACCCTGCAGCTGTGAGGACCTGGAGGAGTCCAGCCTGGTCACTCAGCTGAGGAAGGTCTTTGTGGCCCTGCAGACGGCCCAGGGGCCTGTGACCACCTCCGCCATCACCCGCTGCCTGGGGCTGAGAAATGGTGAGAGTTGGAGTCAGAGGGGCTGGGACCCCAGAGGCAGCTGCTCCCAGGACTCTTGTCCCTATTCCTTCTCCCAGCATTGCTGGTCTCTGAGCTCTCCCTCCCAAAACAAGGAGGGAGCAAGCAGCATCTTCATCCCATCTCATTGGGAGGGGACACCTCTGCCCTCTGCCTCCTCCTCCTCCCCCCGTCTCTACCTCCCCGTGCCCCCTTCTTCCTGGCTGGTCTGCTCATGGGAGTAGAGGTTGATGGGGAGCCAGCGCTCAGAGCACAGGGGTCTCACCAGGACCACGTCCCCCTCCCTGTCCCCTGGAGCAGTGCACCAGCAGCAGGACGTCCTGGAGTTCTTCCAGACCCTGCTGACCAGGATGGCTGCTGAGCGAGCGGAGCTGGGGCAGGTGAGGTGCCTGGGAGTGAGGGGTGCCCTGCCCTCCTTCACCCCTCCACCCCTCACACCACGACCATGGGGGCTGACAGCCCCTAGGATTTCCTGCTGAGGAAGCTGACCCAGGATACTGTGTCCATGGGGACTGGGGTTCCTGTCCAGAGTCCTGTAGGGAAAGGACTCCAAGGAAGGGCCTTAGTGGGAGGTTTTCCACCAGCTGTTCTTAAGGAGAAAGATGGGCAATCTTCTGCCCTGTCATTTATCACCTCTGAAATCCTGCTGGAGACTCACTTAGGGACCAGCTCCAACCAGACAACCAGGAGTCTTTTGAGAGAGTCTGACTGTGGTGGGGATGAGGTGATCCTTACCTGTGGGGGGAAGGGAAGGTAGAGTGGGTGGTCCACCTGTGGACAGTGTCTGGACAGGTGAGTGGGTGGTCCACCTGTGGACAGTATCTGGACAGGTGAGTGGGTGGTCCACCTGTGGACAGTATCTGGACAGGTGAGTGGGTGTTCCTAGGTCAGAGTGCAGTGTGCAGAAGGACAGTTCCTTTGGTTCCTGCACAGGTGGGTTCTGAGTGGAGTTGGGGAGCAGCCAAGAGGAGGGCCTGGGAGCCCACAGGGTCAGCTGGCTCCTCCTGGACCACAGGGAATGACCCCCACCAAGACACAGAGCCTGTCAGGCAGGTCCTGGGCAGGTCAGTCCTGTGTGGACAGTGGAGGCAAGGTGTCAGTGGAGACATTGAAGGACGTGTGGAGTCTGCCCATTGTCCTGCAAGCCAGGAGGGACGCCCCTATCCTGACCCAGGCCAGGGCCATGAGTGGGAGTGGGGGTTTAAGGAGTAGCCCCCTGACAGGAGGCCACAGGAATGTGGGTGGAGGACAGCGCTGTGGGGCCACTGAGCCCACCCCAGTTCCCTGATCTGACCCAGTCCTTCACTGGGGCGAGGTCAGCTCTGAGCAAACAAGTGGGTGTGTGGGGAGGGGTGTCCAGTGGGCAGGGCTCCTTCTGACCTCCAGCCTGAGGTCTGGTGGGAATCAGGTAACCCCAGGAATACAGGGTGGTGCAGCCCTCCCTGTGGCCCTGGACTCATCATCCCCACTCAAGGTGTGGCCACTTGTGGCTGCTGCCCCGGGACTCAGGTGGCCGCTTGCTTTCAGCTGTTCCAGATGACCACAGAGCACGTGATCCGGTGCGAGGAGTGTGGGGAGGAGACGAGGCAGGAAGAAGAGCGGCTGTTCCTCATGGTGCCAGCGACGCAGGTCGACGGAGGTCCCCTGTGCTCCGTGGTGAGGGCCCCTCGCCCATTCCCACCTGCTTCACTCCCCCACCTCCCTGCCTGTGTCGGGGGCTCTCCTGGGGGCCCAGCCTGGTGGAGACACTGCAGCAGACGGGGTCCTGCACGGGCCATGGCCCTTGCCTGTGGGACGCCAGCCCCTGGGTGCCTACCAGTCCAGGACCAGCCTCAGCTGGACATTTAACCTCCTCCCAGAGCACTGAGGCTCACTGTAAGGGGTGTGGCTGTGGTCCTTTCTGATCTGAGGGGGGGACAAGACACCACAAGGGTCTTGGATGTGTCAGGTCAGGGCTGCCTGGTCCCTGGGCCTGCTGTGGTCTGGATGGGTGGGTTGGAAAGCACCTGGGGGAGACCCAATCTGACCTGGACTTGTCCTCCCGGCCCCTTAGGCTGAGTCTGTGCAGGCGTTGTTCCGGGAGGAGCAGGTCACAGGTGACAACCAGTACTACTGCGAGCAGTGTGACC